CACAACCAAAATCATACATTTATCTGGATGTAGAAACCGACATCACAGATTACTCCCGAGTGTTCAAAATATTCAGAAATCGTCATTCATAGTCTTTATCAAAATAATTTGATCTTGATCTCAAATACTTCCTCAAAATATCCCAACAATATTCACATCTCAAAAATAAATGCATAACATATCAAATCCAAAATCATACTTCACAATTTAGGGGTTTTTCCAAAAGTAGTTCCAAAAATAGTAATTAATCTCATGTTCAAAATAATCTAATAAGGATAGTTCTAACTCCAGAGTGTATATGTAAATACTCACACCGAATTATACATTTAAAAACATATAATTTGCCTCAAATCAATCTCCACAATTTACCAAGTCAAAATATCAATTTCTCACAATTCACAATTTCGACTATAGTAATTAAAATAGTTAATTACTCAAAATCCATACATTCCAAAAATTCCCTGAAAATCATATCATACTCAAATAATTCCATAATAACCGAAACACACATAAAATTTCATATAGAATCTCAAATCATAACTCAACCCCTAATTAATACATAGTAGGGGTAAAATAATAATTTTGGTTGCAATAGTCCTTACCTCGAGGCTAGCAACGAATCCTAAATGTCAAACCTAGATTGAGAGATCACTCACACGTCCCTAGAGAGATATAGGATTTTGGGTTCACAATTTAGGAGAGAGGAATCAAAGAAAACGAAGAACGATAAGAATTTGGCAACAAACGTATTTACGAGAAGATTAGGTTCAATGATTATGTTCTTGGCCTCAATGATCTTCTTGGATGTGTTAGGATTGAAGGGCTGGAAGAAATAATGCTTAGGAAGTCGGCCTTAGGGTTTTTTGGAAACAAGAAATTCAGAGTTAGGGATCAATTTATACTACTAGGTCAAAATTAGGGCTTATGGACCGGAAATGTCGTGTGAGAAGCTGTGTGCCCCGAGAAGACTCCTATGCTTCAAACGTCTCTACACACACCGTATGGGCAGCCGTGTGTTCCGGGAAGAGACTCCTATGCTTCACACGGCTTTGCACACACCGTGTGGGCAGCGGGAAAACTTCCTAACTTCGATTTTCATTCTGATTTCGCATCACTCGGGCCCGCTTTTGACTTCAAACACCATACCAAATCTAATTAACTATCTTGAAACCTTCTAAACAACATAAAGCATAATTTTCCTATTTCTCATAATAACTCAAATTTTCGGGGTATTACACCGCGGCCGGTAAGGGGCATCGATACCTTTGCTTTTTCGCAGACACCATGATGGAAATGGGTGAGGGGAACATCCCCTGCCTCGAGGTACACGGGCCCTCCAGCTCCACGACATCAGACTCCTTCAAGAAGGCTGATTCATGAACGACCAAGGCGTGCTCCTTGGGTTCACCAACAGAATCAACTTCATCTTCCCCCTCGGAATCACTCACGAGGTTTATCTTAGCCTCAAAGTCTTCCAGAGGGCGTTTCGACATCTTCAGACTCAACTCCACCTCGAAGAGCACTTCAGCCTCTGGGGAAGCCAGATATGTCTTGCGAGTCCGATGAAGACATCACTAACAACTTTTGTACTTAAACGCTACAGATCTAAGTACGGTTTTCTACAAACACATAATCTAAGGCCTCAGAAGCTAAGTATGCGGAAAAAACGAAGAACGGATGAAGAACTTACCTTGAAGGTTTGGAGATTGGTGAAGAATAGATGAAAAGAGTTTCTCTCTCTAAAATTATGCAGCACTTCATCCATTCTCAAGAAAGCGAAAAGAGAAATGAAGGCTAAGGCCAGGTATTTATAGACGGAGTAATGATGACCTCCCAACGGTCGTTACATATGTCGACGTGACGGTTGCCATTCGATTCAATCGATGCGACCACCTAGATTCATCTCTCACCAAATGCCACCTGTCCCAGGACGTCTCCTCTTATGATGCACTACGGTTCACCACAGACATCTAGTGACACGCCGGAAAGATCCCACGGTCTACTGCACCATGGAAAACAAAATCCAAGCACCTCGGGTATAAATTTTAACTCCAAGACCGAGGTAAGCCCCTCAATCTGATCACCACGGTGAGGGTCTCGGGCTAGCGACCTTCGAACAAGGATTCTCCCATAGGGTTGCATTGTCCAGATTTCGCCAAAGAGATCAGATCCTTTGCCACCTCCTAGGGGCATCCCCGCAAGCAGGTACAACCCACCCGCAAAGCAATCCTCGGTGTCAACACCATACTCCTCACCCCACATTCATCTCGTCATGAGGAGTGGGGGACTTAGGGACTACACCTCGATCAAAAGGCAAAAAATGTGGGAAATCAAAAGCTCAAAAAATACAGACAAAGTACATGCCAATACAAAGCACACCCCGAAGTATATCACCTCGGCCCGAAAAAACATGGAACCCCATAAAAGGCAACGGAGTACAGGCGAACGCTATACTTCCCTTGATTACATCACGTCGGACACAAAGCTCAAGCAAGCGCCATAAATCGGGTTATAAGGTCAAACGTCAGGAAAACTCTACTCCCTTTCACTTTGATGCTCTTTAGCTCAAAGAGCGGGGGACTCCCAATAGAGTATATGGTCCTAGACCCACGACCCACACACTCTTAGACATACGGATGACCCAAGGCCCAGCCAGAGAGCCCAGTCCGGAAGGAAGAGACAAACTTTCTATTTGTACCATCACCTCAGCATACGTGCCTCGGAGGAACACACCTTGACCACAGACCGCTAGGACTCACATGGGGATTTTCACCAGCAGGGCCGAGGTGCACCCATGCACCTCAGACCCAACATTAATAGAGATCATCATCATATCCTTAGCGGATTAGAACACATGTAAACAGCCCATTAACTGCCCAATATTGCAGTCGGGCCTCCAAGGCCCAAGACCCGAGAGCCCAACCCATATTCCCTTTATAAATACCCCCTTTGGGGTTAGTTGTAGAGGGTTCATAACTCATTTATTGCAAGCTCTTTCTCTCTCTATTATTAGCTCTTCCTTCCCGGTTATAAAAAAACCGAGAAGCTATCATAATTTATTAGCATGTACCAACACAAATCACGCACCATAATACTATTGGGCCCAAGAATTTTAATTAGAAATTGGGCCACCGGTTGATCAATGTGTGAACCAGTCCAGAAGATAGCAACATGCGTATTGGATAAAGATAAATGAAGAGTCCAAGAGCAAGTCAAAGGAGGTTGTTGCACGTGGAGGAAAAATAGGCATATCATTGCTAAGCTTGGGGAGAAAGCCCCTATTCTCTTGGATAGTGGGTGCAACCACTAAGGCATCAGTTAGAATAAATACGGATAGTTGATATCCCATGTGGAGATACATCATTCTAAACGATATACACACACTGTGATTCATACGTATAATACAAAGTGATTAGCAAAATTCTTTCTGCTTAATGTTTAATTCATTCCAATAGTGTCATATTTTACATCTGATTCTTATTTGCTTGATTCCCATTCAATTCCACATTTAGATTAGTTTAATTTCTGGTTAAAACAATTGGCGCCGTCTGTGGGAAATTTTTGCAAAAAGAGAATCACCTATGGCCGAAAGTTCTAACTCCCTGTTTAATGAGATTCAAGCACAGCTAGAAGCCGTTCGAGAAGAGCTCTGCGCATCCAAAAGTTCTGATGCGGCACAGCTATAAGCCGTCCGAGAAGAGCTCCGCACATCCAAAAGTTCCGATGCGGCACAACTAGAAGCCGTCCAAGAAGAGCTCCGCGCATCCAAAAGTTCTGACGCGACACAATTAGAAGCTGTCCGGGAGGAAATGCGTCAACGAATGGCCTTCCTCCAAGGTGAAAATGACGCTTTCAGATCTCAGGTGCAATCGGTGGCATCCATAGCCTCCATCTCACGACGGGGTGAGGATGTAGCTACCGTGGCAATGAGATTGAACATGGGTTCAATTCCGGCTTCAACAAAACCTTTCATCCCTCACTCCGGGGCCGACACATCTGGAGGAGAAGGGCCCTCAACTCGTTCCAATCCACCCCCAAATCCCAGAAGGAACATATTCTGAAATCTGTTTGTAGAGCCCCAGAGACAACATGTTCCAAATCATGTCGATATTCATAGATATGTCGACATCAACAACCAGATGCGACAAGTTCCAAGCCATGTTGACATGCCCATACGTGTCGACATCAATAATCAAAGTTGTCAGGAGCCAGAGGTCGTCACCATACAGTCGCCAACCGAGCAGAGGATAACTCAGATAGAAATGTCTCTCGAAGCAGCGGGTCCACAGATACAAACAAACACGGCAGGTCCATTGGCCGTCATCATGGAGGAGCTGAGGGAATTGCGAGAGAAGGTCAACATCATACCAGGAGTCCCACGTCCACTTAATGTGGCGACGCAAACCTGTTACGTAGATTCACCCTTCGGACGACATATTGCAGACATCGAGATTCCAAGGAAATTCACCGTACCATCTGTTAAGTATTTAGTTTTGTTGATGACTAAACCTCTCACAGGAACATGGAATGGAACTATTCTATGGTCCAAACAAACGTTTATGATTATCTAACCATGCAGGTGAACCATAGGATAGAACTCTCATCTATCCATAGGATAGACACCATGTCTAGTGTTAGTCCCTTGTGCATTGTATTCTGAACCCATTGCTGTACTAAACTGACCGTTCGAGAAAATTGATCAAAAGATTTTCAGAGGCAGAATCTCGAAAAATCAGATGTCGAGATCTGAATATCGAAATCTCAGATTTCGATAAAGGAGGCCCGGTATCGAGATTTGGGCTCGAGATTAAGGATCTCGAGATTTGGGATCTCGAGATTTCAAATTTCGAGATGCTGATCTCGAGATTTGAAATGTCGAGAAGTTAATCTCTCGAAATCTTAATCTGAAGAGTCAAATGTCGAGACCAGATGTCGAAACCTTTTCTCGAAATCAAGATTTCGAAATCCAAGATGTCGAAATCCTAAATGTCGAAATCTTTCAACCTGTAAAAATCAGATAATCAAAATCTGAAGATAGTTTCCTGTAGAGTTGAATGTCGAGATCTTCTGGTAAAGTTTTCAGCTCAAAAAACGTAGCAGAACCTGTAAAGAAATAGGATGTCGAGATGCCTAGCTCGAGATATCTCGAAATCAAAAATTGCGTAAAACACAAACTGAAGTATACCCTTTGATCGCTTTGAAGAGGCGATTCCAAAGGTGTAACTTTTACAAATTTTGAACAAGAAACAAAATTACAGAGCAAAAATTCGACAGAATGAACTACGTTAACAAAAAACAGAGTATTCTGCAGGAGTTCTTCTAATCGTTCTCGATCGGCTCTGATACCAATTGTTAAATAGGATCTCATATGGAGTCTTGTCGAAGCGCTTGTGGATGAAGGTTCTGTTCTGAGTGAAGCACGCGGTATTGATTGCCTCTGCCCACATGAAGTGAGGCAGTCTTGATTGGATTAACATGGTGCGTGCTGCTTCAACAAGGGTTCTGTTCTTTCTCTCAACAACTCCGTTCTGCTGGGGAGTTTTAGCTGCTGCAAATTGCTGAGTGATACCGAGTGATTCATAGAACTCAGTGAGTGTCTGATTTTTAAACTCGGTACCATTGTCAGTTCTCACAATTCGAACACTGTGATGTAGCAGTTTCTGGATGGTCCTGATAAAGGTCATAATGTTTTCCGCAGCTTCGTCTTTTGATCGAAGAAATTTTGTCCATGTATACCTAGAGAAGTCATCAACGATCACCAGAGTGTATTTGCGACCGTTGATGCTTTGTACTCTCATAGGTCCACACAGATCCATGTGAATTAGCTGCAACTGATGAGTAGATGAAGGTTCAGTTTTTGACTTGTGGGAGCTTCGCGTCATTTTGCCCATTTTGCAGGCACTACAATGATTTTCAGCGGAAGACTTTAGCAGAGGAAGCCCCTTCACAAGTTTCTTGGAGGACAAGGTTGATAGATGTTTGAAGTTCAGATGGGAGAGACGTTTGTGCCATAGGTTGTTCTGTTCAGTTGAAGCTTTGGACAGCAGACAAATGGAAGTGGTGGATTGGACGCTTTTCAGATCAATAGTGTACAGATTTGATGTTCTGTAACACGTTAATAATGTATTTCCTGTGCTGTCAAGAACACAGCATTGTTTTGCAAAGAACCTCACTTCCATCCCGTTGTCACAGAATTGTCCAATGCTCAGTAAGTTGTGTTTGAGCCCTTTGACGAATGAAACATCTTTTATTGTGACACTGGCACAGACGACGTCCCCATACCCAAGGATAGGAGATGAGGCGTCATTCCCGAATCTGACATTGCCTCCGTAGCAGTTGGTGTAGTTGCTCAAAAGGTGCTTTATTCCGGTCATGTGGGTTGAGCATCCTGAGTCTAAGTGCCACACATGACCGTCCTGCAAAACAATCAAATAAGATCAGGTACCCAACTTGGAGTGGGTCCTTCCTTATTATCAAGAAACACCTTTTTAAAACTTGCTTTGAGCAGTGATCCAAGGTCAGCTGCTCTTTCAACAAAAGATCTATCTTCGATGGGCTTTCCAATTGCCAGATCTGCTTTTGCAGTGTGTCTGGTTTTTGGAGTCCACCTACCATTTTCCATTTTGGTGGGTCTGATGTTGTGAACCCACCTTTCCATTTTAGTCCTTGTGGGTCTAAGTTTGGGGACCCACTTTTCAGTTGTAGTTCTGATGGGTCCTTGATTTGGACTCCACCTATCAGTTTTAGTTATGATGGGTCTACGATTGGGAACCCACCTTTCAGTTTTAGTTTGGATGGGTCTTCGTTTGTGGACCCACCTATTCGATTCAGGTTTGGTAGGTCTCATCTTGGGGACCCACTTTTCGGTTTAGGTTCAGGAGGAGAGTAGACAGGAGCTTTGTGATTGAACGGTTGTTTTTTGAGTTTGGTTTTGAAAATCTCCTCCTTAGAAAGCCGATTAACATGTTTCCTAGAATGAACTCTAAGGGCGTATTTCATATCTGGAATACAAAACGTTCCCTTAGAAGTTTCTTTCTTGGTTTTCTTTTCAGGTTTAAGCTTTCTGGAAGGCTTAGATTTAACAACATTCATATCACATTCATAATTATGGGGATCTGGAACAGAATAACCATAAGCAATACTTGTATTATAAATAGAACTTTGTCTAGAAGATGTCTCAGAAATATTCAGCTTGGGACTCAAGACTGAACTGTTAGAAGTTTGCTTTGTAGAGACAGAATTACAATTAACTTTTGCAACCTTCTCGAACATGGCCTCGTCTAAGCATTGATATATGAGAGTGAGAGCTTGTTGATCCTTCCTCCTACTCTTTTGGAGACTATCCCTTTGGGATTGATTTAAAGTAGCATCATCTTGAGGTTCCTCGTAACCTTTCTCAACAATCTCCCATGCATCTTGAGATCCGAGCAAGGCTTTCATGCGAATGCACCAACTAGAGTAGTTTTCTTTAGTGAGGCGAGGAAATTGCAATGGAAATAAGCCATTGACATTCATCTTTCTTGAAAGGATTGATGGCTCTGATACCACCTTGTTGGAACAAAGTAGTTTATGAGTATTAAAACTGGGTGATTGTGTGTGGAAAAGAGAATTTTAGAGAGATGATTTTGGGAGAACTTGGAACTCTTATTGATTTAGTTTTTGGCTTGTATTACAAATGAGTGAGGAGTGCTCTATTTATAGGTTTCATAGGATCCTTCTAGGCACTCCTACTTCCTTAACCTTCTAGAATATTCTATAGGATTCTAGCTGAGGAATAATCTAGAATTGTTTGGGTACATTAACTACTCTAGATCTTTCTTTACTAAGTCCATCTTATGGGCTAGCTAATTTATTACTCCCTCCGTTCCCCCATCAAGTTACCACTTTCTTTTTTGGGTAGTCCCTAAATTAAGTTCACACTTCCTTATTTTCCTTATTTGGAAAATTATCTACATCAAAATAGTGTCAAACAGTGCCAAATAGTGCCAAACAGTGTTTGAATAGTGCAAAACAGTGCACTCCACAGTAAAGTCAAATTTATTTTCTTAATATGTGTGAAGTCAAATCGGGAACTTAATTTAGGGACGGAGGGAGTATTTCTCATACAACTATTAACCCAATAAGTTAACTTCTAATAGACCCAATTATTATGGGCTAAGCCAAGTTTAGTTTCTAACAGAAAATGTCCATTGAATGAGGGTGTGCGTTGACCTTGCATCACTGGCCAATCCTCGCTGCAATAATTTCATGCGAGGAAGATGAAGATAATGTTCACTTGCGAAAGAGACCATAAGCACTTACCCTTAATTTGACAAATAGTTGAAATGAAATGTGCCAAATTGAAGCTAAACAAATTGCTTTCAATTTTAATTGTAGAGTTCCTCGGATTTTTGTTGAAATAGAACTCCATCATTGACATGGTAGGGCTGGATGCTTATCTGGAGTCCTAAGGCTTGCCGTATTTTGCAAATGAACAATGGTCTTTCAATGATGAAAATCTGCCACTGTGAACTTGCACCAGAAAGCAGGGACGGATCCAGTATTTCAAGTCAAGGGGGCGAATTGTTTTTCGTTAGTGTAGTGGGTGAAATTTTTTTTGCTAGTGTAGTCGGGCGATTTTTTTTTCGCTAGTGCAGTGGGGCGATTTTTTTCCCGCTAGTTTAGAAAGGCTTTGCGGTAATTTTTATTAAAAAAGAATTCATAAGTACATACATGATGATATTTAAATACTCCCTCCATCTCAGAAACAACTTCTCACTTTCCTTTTCGGACAGTCCCGAAATTAACTTCACACTTCTTTCCAGTTCCTTATTTGGCAAATTCTCTACATTCAAAAAGTGCCAAACAGTACCAAACAGTGCCAAACAGTGTCGAAACAGTGTCCATACAGTAAAATTTATCACCTAGTATGTTTATTTCCTTAATATGTGTGAAAATGAAGTTTGAAGTTGTTTACGGGACGGAGGGAGTATATTACATTCTAAGTTTAGACAATGAACAAATAACTTTGATTTTATAATTGTAGGTGCTTTAGAAAAAAGTATTGATAAATTAAAGCGTAAGAAATAGCAAATCAAACGAAAAATTATTTGAAAATAACAAAGGATATATAACATTTTATCAAATTATTTGAAGGTAAAGAGTTTAAAACGTGCACAACCACCAATGCTTTTTAAATAACTCATGTCATGTTTAACAACACGAATCTTATGAGTCATGAGGATAGTATGTACGTAGTATGGCATTATTATTTTTAGAATAATATTATTGAATTGCAAATTTTGAATTGCAAGTTTTGCTAATATTACAAAAGTATAGTATGTACGTAATATGAGATTATTATTTTTAGAATAATATTATATCGTTGATTCTTAGATTGATGTCTTCTCTATCTTTCCTCTCTTTTTTCTTTTATCGTTTATCTTCTTTATCTTTTTTTATTCTTATGTTATTTTTTATCCTCTAGCTTTTTTATGCTCTTTTATTTTTTATTTTTTATCTTTCTTATATTCTTGTGTTATTGTTATCTTATATTTATTTATCTTTATTTTATTCGTTTAATCTTACTTCTTTTTCTTCCCTTTCTTGTCTATCTTCTCTGTTTGACATCGATATCATAGATCGATTCATGTTAGCCGACCCCAAATTCTTTTGGGATTAAGCCTTGGATGTTGTTTTTGCTGTGGTAAAATAAGTTAAAATTTATTACCTATGCAATAAATTATTTTTAAAGAGTAAGAAGTAAACGAATTGTGTAATTTTAAATTCATTTCACATGATCGAAAAACTGTTTAACTAGTGTGTCTCGTATATAATATTGTTTGATATTTTACAAATCGAGTAATAATTATCTAATAAATTAAAGATAATTAAACATTTCAAAACTATGAATATTTATATAATAGGTATCCTAAGTCTTGAACAATAAGTGGTTCTATTGTTTATTTGCTTAAGTTATGTAAATTATTTTAGATGTTTCATCTTTTAAATCTCCAATTAAGTATTTCATAATGTAAGGCTATATATTAATTTTGAAACTAAAAGTTAAGGGGGGCGAACACATATATATCTAATTAAAGTATAAAAATTTTATGAAAATATTAAATATATTGTAGAAAAATTTGAAAGTCCAAGGGGGGCGGTCGCCCCCCCCCCCCCCCCCCCCCCCCCCCTTAAATCCATCCCTGCCAGAAAGCATGGGGTGCGTGTGCGTGTGTGTGTGTGTGTGTGTGTTTTTTTGTGTGTGTGTGTGTGTGTGTGCGCGCACACGAGCGTGCGTGCGCACGCGTGCGTCCGTCTGCGTGTGTGTGTGTGCGTGTGCATGTGTGTGTGTGAGTGTGTGTGTGTGTGTGAGTGTGTGTGCGCATGTGTGTGTGTGCGCCCGCACGCGCGTGCGTCTGCGTGTGTGTGAGTGTGTGTGTGTGTGTGTGTCTGCATGTATGTGTGTGTGCGCGCGTGTGCGTCTGCGTGTGTGCGTGCGTGCGTGTGTGTGTGCTTGTGTGTGTAATCATAAACTTCCCGATTGAATTTTTACCTAAAATTTGGTGAACATAAACTACACTTGGTGAAATCAGAAACATGGTAGTCAAATAATTATTTTGTACTTGCTCAATTTATTAAATGAAGTTACACTTTCAATAAAAGTTATATATTTGCCTTTATAAGTTAAATTCAATGAATTAATAGTTAATCCTAAAAGATTGTTTAGATTATTTAGAGAAATACTAGTAAAAATGCGGTCGTCTCCCTAGTCTCTTAGGGTTTGGTTGCGCAGTTCGTTTTTCAGCGCCGGTCCTCGCTAGCGATCGGCTTTGGCCTTCGCAGGATTTTAGTGCGCTGCGTTTTGTTTCGGCTACGACTTCAAGCTCCTAGGCGTGGTGTTTTGCTTTTGTGTTGCTGGTAGTTTTATGCAAGTTGGCTGAGGTGTTGGACAGTGGACGGTGACGAAACAAAGAGGGTGTTGGTTTCATCTCCGATGAGTTCTCTCACCGGTGGTATCGAGGCGGTGGACAGAATAGAGATGGTATCGCCAATAAGTACAAAGAGATGATGATTGAGGAAGAGTTAGTTTTTGAGGAGGATTCCACCGAGGAAGAGGGGAGTTCAGCCAATCAGCAAGTTTACCCTGCGGTAGGAACGGTTCTCATAGACAGGATGGTGAAATTTCCGGTGCTCAGGGATCTCATGGCTTCAATATGGAGACCGGGCAAAGGTATTGCCATAAGAAAATGGTGAAAAAAGGTACATGTTCACTTTTTATCATGCTATTGATATGGAACATGTTATTAGTGGTGGGTCGTGGATTTTCAAGCAGAATCTGCTGATCCTTAGGGCGCTTAGGCCGGGTGATGTGCCACTGCAGGTCCATCTAAACGAGGTGGAGTTTTGGGTGCAGGTACATAATGTACCTTATGATTTTATGAACATTGGGACAACGAGAAGAATCGGAAATGTTATTGGGAAATTTATTAGTTTTGACGAGAGTCAGTTTGAAAAAAACTGGAGATCCTATATGAGAATTAGGGTTAATATGGATGTAGGAAAACCGCTCAAAGTTGGCACGACTCTCAGAAGGGTCAGAGAACGGGGCACCGGGTTGATTTTAAGTATGAGAAATTGCCTAGTTTTTTCTTTGCATGTGGTATCATGGGGCATGCTGACATGCTTTGTCCCCTAGTCTATGAATATAAGGGTGGGGAACTGGTTAAGGCCTATGGGGCAAGCCTTCGTGTGCGGGGGGGGGGGGGGGGGGGGGGGGATAAAACCCGCTCGATAACTGGGAATAAATGGTTTATGCCAGAAGGTTTGGTGGGCGGCCGAGGAGGGTTTCAGAGTGGGGGCGGTGGTAGAGTGGGGGCAGCGGTAGGATTGGGGTAGGAGGGCAGAGCTGGGTTCTAACTGTGGTGGGAGGTCACAAGGTCCGCAACGAGGAAAAGGCAACAACAGCCGAGGGGGAAATCACTTGTGAGCAGAAGCGCAGGAGGACATGGGAGGAGGAAAAGGAAGAGGAGGCAAGGAGAGACAAAATGGCGGTTGATGCTCCAAATCACTTGTTTTTGTCATTTACATTTTTTTTCTGCCACACTCTTGCATTAGGTTGGGGTGGTGAGAGGTTTGCTCTAACCACGTTAGGCTCATTTAGACTCATTGTAAGATCATCGAACCATATTGCTTTTTTAAAGGTGATTGGTTCTGAGTTTGGTTCGAGGGTTGGTGGTTGGAAGTGGTCCTTTTATCTTTTGTTTCCCTTATTGAATGTTTTAATATCAATTTAAGCCAACTTGTTTTAAAAAAAGAAATCATAAAAGCAATGTCTTGAATTCAATAAATATAAAAAAATGTTAGAGTATCAAGTAATGCTACTTGTTATTTTCATCAGTTATTTTCAGTATTCAAAAATTACATATTGTTACCTTACCGATATTTCGGTATACCATCTTTCGATATACCGAAGTTCTGATTCTATAATGTTATGATATCAGTAAATTATCATGCATGTCTCTCAATACAATAAATTATTATAGACTAATGAAATATACAAAATCGATGTTGCGAGTGACATACTTTGCTCATTATTACAAAGGGATTTTGATATAAATATTACTTCCTCTGTCCTGTTTTACCTTTTTTATCTGTCCCATTAAATTTGTCGCATACCATATTTGGTAATATTTAGGTAGTTACAATTCATTCTTACTTTATCAATTCAATATCAACAACGTAATTCCATTTTTTCTTAAAAATTGTGCCACATCCTTATCCCAAACATAGTGGGACGGAGGTAGTACTAAAAAACAGAGAATGGGTGAAAAAGAAACATTTTTTCTTAAATTTCCAAAAATGTGGCTAATAAACACTTTCTTCACTAATGAACCATTCTTAACTTTTAGTTCCTCAACTAATGAACCATTCATAAATTTTAGTTCCATAAGATTGTAGCAATACACTCTATCATAATTAATGCTTTTTTTTAATTTAACATTATTTCAATTCAATCATTAACAATGCACTCTATAAGTCCATAACAATTAATGTTTTTTAATATTATTTATGAAGATAAATACTCCCTCTGTCCCTTAAAGTTTGTCACACTTTCCCGAAACGGATGTCCCAAAATGTTTATCATACTTTTTCAACTTTCTTATTTGGTAAACAAATCTATACCAGACAGTGTCAAACAGTGCAAAACAGTGTCAAACACTGTGCCCGGGCCCGGGCCGGTTCGGGCCGGTCCGGGTGAACCGGTTGGTTGGCCGGTTCGGGCCACCCGGCCTGGTGGGATCTCGGTTCGGGCTCGGGCCCTTCAAAAGGTGAACCGGCCCGGCCGGTTCGGGCCCGGGCCGAGCCAAATTTAATTTTTATTTTTTTTTGAATTTTTTTTAAGTTTTTGGGTTGGGCTGGGTATTTTGGGCCATTTGAGGTGGTTAGGGTTGGTTTGGGGGTGAGGGGGAGGGTTGGGGGTCAACTAGGAAAAGCCCAAAAAAAATATAACCGAGACCCGGCCCGGCCCGGACTCGGGGGTTACCCGGGCCGGTTCCGGGCCTCCCATACCTTGAACCGAGGCCCGGTCGGTTCAAGGCTCGAACCGAGTCCATCCCTAGCCCGACCCCAACCCCACACTCCAAGCCCCACTCTCATGGTCCTCACCCCTTGTTTCCCAACCTCTGCACCCCGCCGATCATGATTTGAAAACCCTAGACTCTGGAATCTTCACCACAATTCTAGATATGGCGCGGCAGAAAATTGAAGTAGAAAAAGCGCAACGGAGCAGCAATGTGATGAAGGTGGAGTCGACGATGACGAAGAAATCTTGCGTCTGTTGGTGCTAAGGAGTGGAAAGCTGCGTTGGTGCTGGTGACGATGCTGATACGATGGTTGGCCGAAGAAGAAACTGATGAGGGAGCAGGGGTGAAGAAAAGCTGCGGGCGATGGTGGTGTTGTGCCAAATTCAACTTTAAATGGAATCCTACTCTTTTTAAATTGCTTCCCAAATAGATACTCCATATAATATATTGATGGACTCAGGCCGGGTCGGGCCCGGGCCGGGCCTAGGCTCGGTCGGGCCGCCGGGTAGTATGACATGGGCCCGGGACCGGCCCGAGGGTTGGATGGGTCCGGTCCGGGCCGGGCCACCCGTCCAGGTCACGGGTCGGGTCCGATTCGGGCCGGGTCGGTTAAATTTTTTTATATATATAATTTATATTTTATAGTTTATAGTTTTATACGAGTATTAAAAACAAACTTCAATTGCATTTATTTGAAATGAAATAGGAACTACATTTGAAAATTAAAACAAACTTTAAGAGATAAACATTTTGAAAATTGTAATCAATCGGAACTTCCCGTACCTCCCGATCCTTTGGCTTTGTCAGATGACTTCATATGCTTGATTGCCATCCCGAATCCGCCAGAAACCCCCATGCTACATTTTTTCTCGCACCATTTGCAAATTGCGTACCACATCCCGGTCTTCGGGTCCTTCTGCTTATCAAAATTATACCGTATAATGGCATCTTGATTTTCCATCTTAACTTCTTAAGTATAAACTAGGGTTGGACTCGGGCTGGGTCGGGCCTGGGCCGGGCCTAGGCCCGGTCGGGCCGGCGGTTCTATATAGCTGGACCCGGGACCGGCCCGGGTAGCCACCGGGTCCGGGCCGGGCCGGGCCTCGGGTTTGGTTAATTTTTTTTTTTTGCTTAGCTACCCATCCCTGACCCCCCCCCCCTCACCCCCCCACCCCCAAACCCCTCCTAAACATCAAGCCCAACCCGATGGAGCCCAAACAAAAGAAAATAACCAAAAATAAATAAATTTGGCCCGAACGGGGCCCGGGCCTGGCCGGGCCGGGCCTTGTTGTGGGTGACCCGAGCCCAGACCGGAAACCCACCGGGTCAGGCCTACCGGGACCGGTCACTGACCGGGCCACCGGTTCGGGCCGGGCCGGAACAGTACCGATCCTGGGCCGGTTCTGGGTCGGGCCACCCGGCCCGAGTCCAACCCTAGTATAAACTATAAAGTAGATATATAAATAATAAATATAATATATTGGAGAATAAGAGAATTAGAGAGTTAAGAATATGATTTAGGAAGAATTGGAGAAGAGATATGAAAAAATGTTTAAAATTAGGAGTATTTATAGGTTTTTTTACCCCCTCCCCCCACCCACCACCACCACCACCCCACCACCAGCCAACCCCCCCCCCCCCCCCCCGGACCCCCCCTTTACCCCACCCAACGGCTATATAGCCGTTTGGGTTGTCCCCAGCCCCACCCCCAACGGCTAGTAGCCCAAGAGCCCACCAAACAAAAAAAAAAATAAAATAAGACCGGACCCGGGCCGGGTCACATTAATCCAGCACCGAGCACGCCCCGCCCATTCCCACCGGTTCGGGTGCATACCCGGTCCCGGACTGCCCGACCGGGCCGGTCCCGGACCCGCACAGTACCGGGCCGGGCCGGGTCACGGGCCGGGTGGCCTGAACCGAATCCAACCCTAATATAATACATACGGAGTACAATAAAATGAAACTGGTGATTGGCTTGGCTCAGTCTCTGTGCCAAAGTGAGACTCTGGACCCCATCTTCGGGTCTCAATTTTGTCTTGGAACCAGAAAACAGCTCTAGTCCCAATTCAAAAACCAGTTAATCCCAAGATTCTCAACTCAATCCCAAGACCTTGTCCATCCCTATCACAAACATATAAATTAGTTTTTTTTCAAAGTAACATACTCCCTCCGATTCTTAATGAGGTTTACACTCTGACTTCACCCAAATTAAGGAAATAAATTTGACTTTACTGTAGAGTATATTGTTTGGCACTGTTTGACATTACTCCCTCCGTCCCCTTTTAAATGTCCCATTTTACCATATTGGGATGTCCCTATTTAATTGTCCCATACCTTATTTGGTAAAGTTTGTGTAGCTCAAAATCATTCTTACTTTATTCTTACTTTATTCTTACTTTATCTATTAATATCAACCACACAAACCTACTTTTCTTAAAACTCGTGTCACCCTCTTCCGGGACATTTAAAAGGGGACGGATGGAGTATTTGGCACTGTTTTGCACTGTTTGGTGTAGATTTGTTTGTCAAATAAGGCAAATAAGAAAGTTTAAAGTTTAATATGAGACGACTCAAAAGGAAAGTGTAAAGTTAATTAAAAACCGGAGGGAATATAAATTAGTTTCTTTTGATTGTAATTTGTAACGTATAAATTAGTTAAATAACCCACTTATTATTTTTGGTTGATTAATCAAAATAAATCAAAAAAAAGTATTCTGAACCACATTAGTTGCTATCCAGTTGATTCCGGACTCCAATTTGAGAAAATGACCACAATATGAGCAAAACATAACTAAAATGTAAAATCGAAATTAATGTTTAAAATTCTCCAAATATGAATAATAATTTGTGATTGGACAAAAACACTCCTGAGGTTTGAAGCTATTATTCACCGGACAAAAACACTCCTATAAGGTTTGAAGCTATTATTCATTATCGCTGGACAGCAGCAGCCAGTCACCAAATCCCTGCCCCTGACTGAGCGCCGCCACTAGACCTCCACCGGACCTTCACCGCTGCCAACTCTTTGTTGCCGGTAGCCACCACTAAACACTAAGTGTGATTGTAAACCGTAAACCCTAATCTCTAATCCCTAAATTAAAGGGTATTTTTGTCCACACAACATTTGACACCTATTTAGCGAAGTTAAAATATAAACTCCAATTTTTGCACTTTCTTTATGTTCTACTCCTATTTTAGGCAATTTCTATATACAAATTAAACAGAGGCATGGATCATGGATGATTTGAGATAATTTTAAAATGCAATTTGCAACCTATTCATTTGAAAATAAAATTATAATTATTATTAATTAAACCTCAAGCCTGGACTGTGCGGGCTTTGACAACACAAATGGCAACTGTTTTCTCTTCACGAGCCAGAAGAGAATAAACGACTCCAAACACCTTCTTCTTGTCTTTGTTATTGCATTTGCTACATACCTGACGTCCTCTTTTTCAGTTTGCACCATAACCCATTTTTTGTATGAATGGTTGCACCAGTGACGAGCTCCACCGACTCCGGTGATCCACTCAACTCTATGTCGAACTTCTGAAGCAACATTGCTAATGCTATGGTTGACTCCATGAGGGCGAACTGGTCACCTACACATTTTCTTGGTCCACCACCAAAAGGCAAGAAAGCAAAGTCTGACATTATCTGAATCATCACACAAGCGGCCCCATTAGAATGCATATAAGAAAGACATTTCATCTGCATTCTATTGTGCTTTTAGCTTTGTCTGATCAACCATTTCTTTCACCAAACAATAAGGTTCATGCCATAAGCTAGCTACTAGTGTTTTTAAATAACATTCATTTGGTTGGTTGGGGGGACTTTTCTAATAAGCTCGCATCTTCAAAAAAATAAGGTCACGCTTATTTACTAAGGGTATGTTTAGCACATGTAGCTGAAAAGATACTTTTATGAGCTTTTTAGTAACTATTAGCTCTTAGTAACTGAAAAGATCTTAAAAGAAAAAGGTAGTAGCTATTTGATAAAAAGCTGACTGTTTGATTTAGCTCTGTTTGACATACAAACTTTTGAGACTAATTAATGCTAGAAGCTACATACTTATATGAGATGTGTAGCATCTCAAGAAAGAGCCTAAGTTTCTAGAATGTAGCATTAATTATGCCTGCCAAAAATTAGTACAAAAGCTAGAAGTCATGGACTTATGTCTGCCAAACATAGCCTAAGTTTCATGGAATGTCTTTTCAAAACAGCTAATGATATTTTTTGTTTATACTTCAATTTTTACCTCATTTTCTATTTCAAAAATATTTTAAGCACCCTATTTTACGTAATTTTGTATTTCTAAAATTGCTTGTTAGCAAATTTCTTCCAAATGCTATGAGAAGAGCTAGCTTATGCACTAGAAGTTATCAGATATACATTATAATCTTTACATTAACTTATAAGCTATAAGCTGACTTATCAGCTTGCTTTGCCAAATACGACCCAACTATTGCCACAGTGATTGCTGAATCCAGGGATGATAAAAATAGTGCAGAGTCATCTTTTTGGCAGATATAGCTCGATTTGATACTATTTGTTTTATTGTTAGATACTCAACTTAAATAATTTTAACAGATTTAGCCACTTGGCCATTTCAAATCTTACCATATGGGTTTCAGTGGACTAAATTAATTAACACGATAAATCTGTGCAAAAAGCATATTGCAATAGTCAGGTCACATATGAAGAACTGGCATTGTGCAACCAACATACAAAAACAATTAAACAGTGTCCAGAGAGCAGCTAACCTCATTTGGGTATAATGCTCCTGGGCTCCTACATGGATCAAACCCAGCCCACCCCTCAATTCCTTCACTTTCTCTTCGAACTTGAAACCTCTCAGGTTCAAACTTGTCTGGTTTGTCCCAAAAGTATGGTGACCTATGGAGATTATATACCTGTTTTGATGTGTAACTGAAACAATCAAATCCATGGGGACTATCATACCTTGGAGAATCTTTATCCTAAAGTTATGAGTCTATGAGTCCTAAACCCATTATACAGCAAAAAAATATGTGCACAAATGATAAGTAACAAACTTACCGAAATAAATACATCAGTACCAGCTGGAATTTCATATCCATCCTCATCACCGTTGTAACCTCCTTTATAGTTGCATAAGATTTTCAGGAAACAGTGACAGCAAATGCTTAAAGGTTCTATTCAGAGCCTGGATTATACTAGGCCAACTAGGGTAAGATAATACTCCCCCTGTCTCTTAAAAAACTTCCTAATTTGACTTTCATGGATTTTATGGATATCACATTCTTTTCTTTGACTTTCAATAACATTTCTTTTTACTGCAGATAAATATAGTGTAGAATAAAGTTTTGACACTGCATATCTACTGTTTACAGCAGAAGTGAATATTGCTTGAGGATAGCAATTAAATATCGATTGATACTCGTTATCAAAGTAAAACCAAACATAAGAAATAACTTGCTGTGGCATTTTTTTGCCCAAAGATACACTAATAAATAAGATCATGATGTGTGCAGAATGAAAATGATGTGAACTCTATGCGATGAGGCTTCCTCAAATTTGTGACTACACTTTTAATGCTGGTTGACTCAAATGTACAAGGTTCTTCCCATGGTTTAAAATATTTCAGTTCAGATCTTAATCAAAGCCCCATCATTCAAAAAGCCAATCTTGAGATAGATATGAAATCTTACCAATTTCAGCTGGTTTTCAAGACCTAATTTAGAACAAAGCCACTCTTGAGATATATTTCAAGAGTTCTAATGATAGATTTGTTTTGTTGAAATCATTTAAAAAGCCACTCTTGAGATATATTTGAGATATATATGAAAACCATTGAATTTAGGTGTTTCAAGTCTGTTCAGGAAAGCAACTAAAAATGGACAGATCACAAAGGATTCAGACTTCAGAGTACGCAAAAATGGATGAGATTTGAGAGGAGAATACGCCTCCTTAATCCCGTAGGACATATAGCCCAAATGGCATAACTAGAACAGTAATAGGACTAATAGACTATATACTCAAGTTTCAGATTTCAAATGCCCATGGAATTAGAGTAGTCTTGAGTGAATGGCCAAAATATTCATGCATTTCTTGAAGGATGACTCGAGCATATTAAGAGCCGTTTGGTAAAATTGGAATTGACTGAATCGGTTGAAATTGATGAACTTCTGGATGAAACAGTTGAATTGGTTGAATAAGCTAAATTATGGGAAAATTCTATTTAAATTATATTTTATTAATAAAATAAAGAAAAAATTACATAAAAATAGAAAAAATGATCATCTACACTAACTTCAGCCAATTCGGCCAGAAAAGTTACTTCAACCTTACTTATTTAGATTATTACACAATTCAATGTGCGAATCAAAAGTTACACGTTTAGTAAAAAGGTGACCGACTGGCTGATAAGACCGATAAGCTCAAAGACAGGCTCTAAGTTTTGTCAGCACTTTCCTTTTTATTCCATCCCAAAGTCATGTTCACTCTCCTAATTCAAACTTGACAACACTTTAATTCCCACATTTTATCTACAACTTACCATTTTTTTTTTTTTTGGGGGGGGGGCTAGTTACTTCTTTTGTAAGATAAAATTGTAGACCAACAACAATCTGTAATTTTCGTTAAAACCACGACAACCCCAAATGTATCTTACATTATGGATTGGGGGAGTATTAAATGTACCTAAACCCTTCAAAACAAAGATCTTATCATAAATTTGACAATTTAATAGGGTCTTGTCAAGATAAGTAATCATGTAACCTGGCAATTTATCTGGTCTAAGGGAACGCCTAATAAGCAATGGAGGTTGTGGATACAAACGCAACGCCTCCACAACAATAAGCCGCAAGTACCTGAAATCCATGAAAAAGTTTATTGCAAGACTCTGATAGAACAGCTCCAGGTATATAGAAGATTTACAGAAAAGATGAGAAGTATTCAAGAAATGACTCAAACTTCATTAAAGGTGAAAACCAGTACAGCGAAGCCCCAAAGAAAGAGACAGCGTATCTCTATTCTCCCAGTCCAATCTAACTGTCAAACCGCCTATCTAACCCAGTCCAGAATCATCTATTTATATCTTCCCAGCCTAACAGAAAGGTAGTTAATAGCTAACAACCGAAATAACTATCAACTAACTATTCTATTTCCTCCACAGACCCAGTTTGTTTGACTCCGGACAGTCGTTCAAACCTGTTCCCCTGATATCGGGAATCAAATCTGGCAACCAGGGCCTGTTTGAAATCATCCCAGCTTATGCCGGGTTTGCGTGATCTCAGCCAGGTTACCCAGTAGAGTGCTCCACCTTCCATAGCCACCTCAGCGGTAGCCACTTTCTTCTCCGGTAGGATTTCGTGTAATTCAAACGGTTGCTCCACCCGAGCTATCCACCCGATCGGGTCTCCCCCATCAACGCCGGTAGCAACGTCGGAGTTGGGTTGCACGGCACTTTGTTCACAGGCGGCGCAGTCACCGCGACACTTCCGACTCCAGCCGCGGCGGCGTCCAGCGAAACAGGTGGCACCAGTGCCTGGGTCAACGCGGCCAGCAAGGCAGCGATTTCTGCCAGCTTTGTGCCGTGATCTTCAAGCGTCTGGTTCATCCGGTTCTGCTCGACTGCCATCCGGGTTTGCTCAGCCCCTAGTCGGGCCACTTCCTCTCCCATGCGAGTTTGTTCGTTCTTCCACCTCTGTTTTAAGGAAACCTCCACACTGTTTAGGGCTGTATCTCCCTTGATAGTACAACTCTGTCCTTGTTGCTTCCATTTAATGATCTGGTTCTGGAAATTTACCTCCATATCTCCTAATTTAGTTAACCATTCCATACCCAGCACCACATCAGTACCACCTCAGTAGAATACGTTTTCTAAGAAGAACAAAACAAGCGTTAAAGAATACGAATGAAGAAGGCCACACTGCGACACTGAAGAAGGCGTCGCCTTGGGGAGTTGGATCTTCGCAGGTCATTATTTTTTTTAAAACTTGAGTCGCTTCTTTCAGTCTACGTCATTTCCGATTTCCGACCATAGCCTCGTTTCGGAATTCCGACTCTGTGCGTCGTATTCTTTCCCTACAGACACGAACGACGCAGATCGAAGGAGATCGATGATTCCGCGATCTAACGAGTGAACTCGTCGATCCGGCGATCTGGCTGCAATTTCCGATCCAAGCTGCGATCTTGACAACCTTGCGCGGACCCATTTTGTCAAAAAAACATTCGCATCGCCATGGCGAAGGCGCAGGAATGGCGAAGGCGCAGGAATGGCGACGCCATGTGTATACACCTCGCCACAGCCCCTTTTCATAGCGCAGAGGGTTTTTCGCGCCACATGGCGCATGGCGCGCGCGCCATATTGCGCCATCGACTACTATGCCTACATGACTTTCCTATCCAGGTTTCCTTGGGAAGCAATGGCCATTTCGAACTGTTCTCTGAACTCCTTAACAGTTCCCTTCTGTCTCAGACTTAGTATAGGGCCCAAGGGATTCTGAACCAAGTCAGGTTGGAAACGACGAGTCAGAGCTTCCTTCAATGTTTCCCACGTCCTCTGACGCGCTTGATTCTCCCACCATTTGAACCAGCTAATCGCTCTGTCCTCCATAGCTACCACAACTACTTCTATCTTCTCTTCTTCCTCTATGTGATTGACTCGGAAATAGCCATCAATTCTCAGTAACCAACCATAGGCATGGTCACCATTGAATAAAGGAAAATCAACCTTTCTTCCCCTTCGATGGTGATGGTTACGCTCCCGGTAATGATGGTGGTTACGGTGCGGAGAGTAGTCGGAATTTTCCTCCGATTCATCTGGGCTAGCTGAATGTGGTGAATGTTGATGGTGCGATGCGACGCGGAAGATGCATGTAATCTACTTCGTGAACGACTCTGCATCCTTTTCTCTAGATTCACAATGCTCGTTTGTAATGCTGATAAGGTCGCCGCAGTTGTTGCCGCTGTTTCTTGTTGATTCCTCTCCAGTTCGTTCATTCTTCCTTCCATTTTTGCACGCGTAAAGATCATCCACAGTGATCGACGTGCTCTGATACGACTGATAGAACAGCTCTAGGTATATAGAAGATTTACAGAAAAGATGAAAAGTATTCAAGAAAGTGAGAAACGACTCAAACTTCATCAATGATGGAAACCAGTACAATGAAGCCCCAAAGAAAGAGACAGTGTATCACTATTCTCCCAGTCCAATCTAACTGTCAAACAGCCTATCTAACCCAGTCCAGAATCATCTATTTATATCTTCCCAGCCTAACAGAAAGGTAGTTAATAGCTAACAACCGAAATAACTATCAACTAACTATTCTATTTCCTCCTTCTAGAATAGACCTTGCCAAAGTACTTATCCTTTTCATTAAGTGTAGCCGTATCCCTATCAGACTCAAGAAAGATATACAGAGTAGATCATTTATAAAGTAGATATGTGAATTGTTAAGAAATCCCAGCTAACATGAAAATGTCACCATTTAGCCATTTTTCTCTTTCACTTTCATGGAAATGTCACTATCAGAAAATTAAAAGTTGTTATTTCATTTCAGCAGCTTCCTCACAAAGAACGCAATTGACTACTGAGCTACCAGCAGAATGACTCAAATGGTAACCATTTTGGAATAAGATGCTCATCCGTGACAATGAAGGATCAAATCGATAAAAAGAAACAACTGAGAGACGGATGTTGTTTTACATCTGTAGATTAAACAGAAAATGGTGTACAAAAAATCTTAAGGTTTAGGGAAATTGCCCAAAATAGGAGCAAATGATATATGGAATTCCAAAATAGGACTAGTATGTTTTTCTTCCCGAAATAGGCGTTGTCACTGTCATGTATGAAAAATACTGCCATGATTGAAAAATATTGTCATTAATTATACTCCCACCATCTCATTGGACTTTGCCAACTTTCCTTTTTTTGTTGTCCCAAAAAACGTTAACACTTTCCTATTAAAGCAACTAATTTGTGGTTCTGCACATTTCTCTCTCCTCTGCACAAATCTCAACCACACAGTTTTTACTATTCTTATTTCTCACCTACTTTGCACCTGGCAAAGTCCACCGGGACGGAGGTAGTAATAAATACTGTCATGTTAAATGCACTGTACTGCAACTATTTGGCAGTCACGCCTACAAGATGACAGTAAATACTGCCATGTTAGTCCCATTTCGGGAATAAAAACATAGTAGTCCTATTTTGGAATTTCAAACCCCATTTCCTCCTATTTTGAGAAATCTCCCTAAGGTTCATGGTAAACTCATATCTGTTATAATGTGCTTTTAACTGAAGAGGGACCCGAACAAGTTCAAAGAGTTACTTCACTTACTCCAACTTTTTGAGTGATTCAAAAGTGGTTCTTCCCTGTCCAAGTACAATGTCAATTTCCGCCTGGGCTTTCTTCATTTTGGATGGATTCTTCACCAAATATAACACATTATGAAAGCCACATAGATAAGAATTAAAATGTTTATTGATGAAATCAATTTTCAAAAAAAAATGACAGTTATGGAAAAAAGAAAGGTAAGAAACATCAACAAAGAAATAACGAAGGACAGTAATTGTCATTTTCTTCCTAGAGACACTTTAGTATGATTCCACCTTCAACAGCCCAGCAACTTATGCTCTTTTTTGTTTAGCACTTTAGCCTTTTAAATAAATGTAAAAAAGATTCTAATCTTCGGATTATGATGAACTATACTTGTGCTAGGAGAAAAACAGCCCAGGTAAGGACAGCTGCAGTTGTTTCATGGCCAGCAATAAGCATTGTCATCAAATCATCTCTTAGCTGTCACATAGAGAACAAAACAAATGTGCAAAATATTAGACAATTACTACTGCATAGAGATCAATGCCGAACATTCAAGAACAGCAACATAGGTTTGCATGAAAGAATGATAAGATAATACGTACTATTTCTTTAGCTCAGAATTATTGTTATTATTTTTTAAAGAAAGCTATGAAGAAGGTATAAGATACTCCACCTGACGATCATCCACATCCACACCCCTCATATCAACTAAAAAACGCAACACACTTGCATCCTGCAAATTTTATAGTTAAGCCGAATTCACTGATCTGGATTTATAAATCTTTTTATGCATGATCACTAATTCATATGTTAAGCCGAAATTCACTGATCATCCACATCCACACCCCTCATATCAACTAAACTCATATCTTTATATGGAATAGGAACTACTAAACCCAGATAAGTGCCAACCTTAAGGTCTAGGTAGTCCCTCTGCTGCAGTTTTTCAACATCTGTTTCCTGTCAGAGAATACAATCACAGTGAAACAGAAACTCCTGGTATACAAATTAAATCCGTTTTAAGAATTACTAAAATAATATTTGCATTCGGAAACAATCAGCTAATATATGTGTAACATGGATTGATATACTACTTTTCATTTCCAACTCCGGAATCTTCTTTATACTTGGCTCATAAAATATTTCATCCATAACGAATTTACCCTTGTTTAAAACTAATTAACTTCTGAAGATGATAGCTCAAGTTTTATTCACTCCCGTCCGATAAAAGAGATATTTTATTTTACTTCATATACACATGGTTGTATGCAGTGGTGCTCCCAAAATTTACAGAAAGTGGGGAAATAAAAGACAAAGGTGATCTTAGTTTTAACACATATAAACATTATAAATCAATATATAAAATGTTACCATCAATGAAAAATTAGTTTATACTTCCACTTAATTTGATACCTTCGTAGTTTGTACTCTACGAAGTAAGTGCATGTTTTCCTATAGAAAGTCCTCATGGATTAAACCCGCCGGCAGATCCATAAGAGATGTGGAGGAGCTATGAACATCTGGAAAAAGCCAACATTTTAAAATCCTATAGATTTCTTCGGATGAAAATATTCCTGGAGATCCATGCGGTAGAAAGAAATATTTAATAGAATACGTATAGCTAGTATACTTCCTATAAGTTGTTTTTTTGAAGTATGAATACTTGATGGATATAAGTGAGCAATAGTCAAATTCAAACAATGTTATTTAGGCCTGAATAGTGAAATAAAATCTAGACCAACTGTCCAAGCACACCATGGATGGCCGAATTTTGGCAAAGTACATGAAAATCAAGGAGCCATTCAGCACCTAGTCAGATTTTTAGAATACATATAGCTCACAATTCCATTGCAATATCCCAACAAGTGGTTACTACTTACTAGACATGTATTCTGAGTCTGCTTTGCACTATAAGATTATAAAGAGCATCTGAAAACCCCAAAAAATATCATATATCTTCTTACCTGTCTGGTCTCTTTTGCAAGTTTTATGAGACCATCTAGACAGTCATTTATGACCTTAAGGTCATTCTGGAATTTTCTTTGACGGGGAACTAACCACCTTGCTAGAGGAAGCTTCCAATAAGGAATATAGAATGTCGATCGGTGCTCAGCTTCAAACAGAGTACCATATACCGCCTGCAAGTTGGAAAGCCTGACTAGTTTATTATTGGCAAAAACAATAAGGAGCTAAATTTAATAACTATGCATAATAATACATTTTTAAGTGCATAGACATGTCTCTATGTGTGTACTAAAAGTCTAAAATGATACGTATTAACTTAAGAGCATCATAGATTGCATATATAAGCTAAAAATTCAGCCAAACCAAATGAAAGAACCGTAAAGAAAAAACAATCAAACATGAACATAGTAGTATGTTATGGTTTATGAAGGATTACAAAAATCTCACTTGGCATTTGTAATTTGTACTCGTGATAGTTGGAGCTTTAACTCCATCATTTCCAATGGAGCCAAAGATTCGCTATTTTTTGGATTGGAAATATGATGGAATAAAGCAAAATGGCTCACTAAACTGTTTGTGCTTCTTTGTTATGAAGCAACGGTGAGTACACACAATTTTGAACCCGGTTTTCATCATGGGTCATCCAAAAACAATCTCTTTGTGCTTTAGTACAGGAGTAAGGCTGCATATATCCGACCCCCCTTACCCCACCAAAGGTGGAAGCCTTTGCAGCACTGGGGTATTGTTGTTGTGTTGATAGTTGAAGCTTTACTATATCATAGGATCTTTATTCTGTGTAGAAAATGCATCACTTTCACAGCTCTAAATGACATTGTATTCACACTCAAGCACCCGTTTGGTGAACTTTATTAGGAAGCAAGATAGATATTTTTTTATAATTTCAAGCGATTGACGAGTTTTTCTTACTGTACTAGTAAATCTAATTACACTTGAAAGCATATTTAGTAATCCCACCTTAGGTTCAGTTGAAGGGAGATAGAATAGTTTGTTTATTTCTCTTCCTTAACTTTATCCATTTTATTAACATTTACCATAACGAACAATACCTTTCATATTATTTTGCTATGATAACCATTTAGAATATAACTAGAATAGACGTTAATAAGTTAATTCTTGAAATACAAGATTATATATAAATATCACAAAGTAAGTTAACACAAAAGGTTATTATGCAATAAGTTCATACAAAAAGTTAAAAATAAGTTATTATATACTACCTCTGTCCCATACAAAGGTTCCCGTCCACTATATCCAATTTTATCACATTTGAGTTTTTTTGCTACTTTATAACACTTTTAATATAGTATTTGATTATGTAAATTTTATTTACTAAAAAAAGCTAATTACGGACAAAGATCAATTTACTTTATGGTTAGTCAAACATCGTAAACCGTGTGGGAAACTCTCTACAGGACGGAGGGAGTATTTAATAAGTTGTTGCAAATAAGAATATTTCAATTTATTGTAAATATAAAAAGTTAAATTGTTATAATTATGATTTATATTTAAAGATAAATACAATACTCTGTACATTTAAAGCTAAATATAATGTTGTAGAAAAATAGGATATGAAACTACTAGTAATCCTAAATATAAATAATAGGGAGAAAAATCAAATTTGACACTATGGTTATATACTTATATAGTTATATGTGAATCTCACATTGGCCACTACGGTCTCAAGCGCACCAAATTGGACACTATGGTTACATGTTAATCTCATATTGGCCACTCACTTACGATTCTTTTCTTTCTTCAGTAAATATTGTTAGTCTTATTTTTCCTTTTCTTTTTTGGTGCCAATAAACTAACTTTATTGATGTATTTTGTTTTAGAATATTTAATTCAAGTTATTAGAATATATACTTTGATTTTAATTAAGAACATCTCATAAAGTTAAAAATATATTTTTGACTTTTTATTTCATACGATTTTTATGGAACTTTGGGAAGAATCATTTTGTTAAATTGATTTAACAAAATTAAAGAGTTCAATTACATGATAGTAGATTTTTCATAATTGGTGATAAACTTATAGTGCTGATAAACTTACATAAGGCAATAACTTGTATTGTATTCCTTATAGATTTTGGTGATGTATAACTTAATTTGTTTTGGAATTATGGTTTTCATCGATGAGATACATAGACTGTCGAATTGAATTATTTCTTATTTTGTAAATAAGATAAGATATATTTTAATAAAAATCAGATTTAGAAACTTTGGTAGTATCGGAAAACAAAAATAATGCACCAAATTACAATGTTTTAGAGAGTTTTTGCTGTGAAAATAATAGTTATTTGCTGCGGTTCAGAACCGCCGCAACAAGTCAAAACCCTTTTTTTTGCTGCTACCTATTTGCTGCGGTTCTGAACCGCAGCAAAAAGCTAAAACCCATTTTTTAATAATGACTATTTGTTGCGGTTCTGAACCGCAACAAATACTTTTTTCTACTATTTGCTACCCTGCCAATTGTTGTGGTTCATAACCGCAGCAAATAGGTAAAAATGACCGCAGCAAATAGCTATTATTCTAGTAGTGAACATCCAATTATATATTCTAAATCTAAATACATGAATTACGTTATTTTCATTTTTAGGTATAAAAATAAAGGAAAAGGAATATTAATGACTTTCATTGACGGAATATGATAAACCATAGGTGGGTTTCCAAAATGACCAAAAATCATTAAGTTCGTGCTCATTTGGTCTGTTTAAAACCTTCGTGGCCAATATGAGATTCACATGTAATCATAATGTCCAATTTGGTCCATTTGAAACTCTGGTGTCAAATATGATATTCATATGTAATCATGGTGTCCAATTTGATCTTTATCCCTAAATAATATCAACTGGTCAATTAGTGTGAGATTAAACCAAGTATTTGTATTCATGTTAGAACTATACAATACAGATCAACACACAATGCAATTGAACTAATCCTATCCAATAATCCAATAAGATGTGCCAAGTGAGCCATGAGGAAGGAGATGTCTGCCACTCTGCACCTACCAATCGGAGAACCAGCCGACTTGAAATAAAGTTTGTTCAATCTAGAGTGGAAATGGTTATTTGATAAGTTAAGAAGCGATGGGTAGCACCCAGAGCATATGGAGTATGGATTTCACAGCCACTAAGGCAAACCAGTGAACCACAGATAAGTTTGAGGCAACAAGAAAAAAGACAAAATATAGACAAATTATGTTCATGTTTATCTAACTATTTCATGACACAGTACTGTTAGATTGCTTGGCATGACTATTTGAGACTAACAATTCGCTGAGACAAAAACATGCAATGGACATAAACTAGCTTAGATGGGTACTTCCCAATAAAAACCCAAAACTATTAGTGGCCAGTGTTGAACACAAACTGTTTCAATGGAAGATCACATGCTTAATAACTAACCAGTAACCAACACAGTTAAGCATGGACCAAAGTCTTAACAATGAACAATTCATTGTTGGATCTTAACCATAACATATCATTTCATCTGCATCTCCTACACTTGAAGAATACACAGTTCATATGAAGCTAAAAAAATAAACAACTACCAATTTTGAGGATTACTATGGAGTCTCCAGATATGGTATCCCATCTTTTTTAAGACCTCTATACAATCTTAATTCCATGCCACTGAAGTACTGAACGCAATATAGTTTCGCAATGCAATACATACCACATAGACATCTGCATCCTTCCGAAGTCAATCATCATTTAAATAAAGCATGCCATTATATCCCTTATTCAACAGCATCCATAACTTAAGCATTGCATCTTAAAACTTGTATATTAATATAAACATCAAAAGGTTCTACTAGTGGATCAATGAGGGTTACCAGAACCACTCGTGAACAAGTGAACAACTTAGCAGAAAAGGGTCGATCAGATAAATGCTACTCCGTATAATGTAAATGATACAATGACATCTAGTCCAAATACATGTGGGGAAAGCTTGAATTCCCCCTTGAACTAAGACCATGAGTCCCCAAGCCTAGTGAATGGAGTGATGAACCGAGTGATGAACACTACTATAACTCCCTATAAGCTGCCTATTTGGCACAAGTGTCCTATAATATTTGTTCAACCTGATTGCATTAATGTATCACATCAGTACATGGTATAGTATCAATTTTGATACAATGATTGGTTCGCACTTGAACTATAAGCAGAATAAAATTTATATAAAAGACAGTATTTCATATACTATTTTCATACAATATTTACTTTGATTAGATTATATTTCATATACTATTTTCATACAATATTTACTTTGATTAGATTATATTTTCATATTAAAGTATAATTTTTTTTTTTTACATTTTAATGTATACTCCCTCCCTCCGTATTTAAAGTTTGCTACACTTTCCTATTTGGGATGTATTTACAAGTTTGCTACACTTCCTTTTTGGTAAGCTTTTCCTTTAAAAATACCCAATTACCCTTACTTTTTCTACTTGTTATCTTCTCTTTCCTACCTTTTCACCTTCTCTCCTACTTTTTCTACACTATTCATTACCCCTACTATTCCCCCCTTAAATATTGTGCCAAGACCTAAAGTAGTAATCTTTTAAATACGGATGGAGTATTTAATAAAAATGTATCTTAAAATGTATCGATTTTGGTTTTGTATCTTATAAAAACTTGTAATATGCTTGGTTTCTTCTGAATTATTTCTTCTATACTCCGCATTTTATTAGAAAATTAGAACAAAAGCAGATAACATCAACTAGGAAGAAAATTATGACAAGGACAACGACATCAAATTGCTGCATTAAGTTGATGATTATGGCTGATCAGCATGAAGAACTTTTTGACTGATCAGCATGAAGAACTCTTTTAGTTTTGCTGTCTTTTTATGTTCATCTTATTAAAATGATTGCAAATGACTAATTAACCCTTTAGTTGTTATTTTTTATCTTCTTCGTCATTTATGGTTCATTGATGTTCTGTTGGTGCCGACTCCTCGATGCTCGCTGTCATCTTCGAATGGGGTAAGCAAAGGAGAAGATGCGTAGATGCAAGTAGTAAATTACTCACGTAGTATTTTTTACATGATACAAATTTGAATTTAATATTATTCATAAAATGAAGACAATACTGGCCATTCATATACTCCCTTTTATAATAGAGATTACATGCATAGAAATGCTTAAAACAAAGAAAGGAAGAAATCCTAGCAAATCACTTCCTAAAATAGATAAGCTAATATTGGTCATCATTGTCATTACCCCAGTGCCGTAAAGGCTCCCACCAACGGTGGGGGGGTCGGATGTACGCGGTCTTACCCATGTACTCCACAGAGAGACTGTTTCCGGATGACCCATAGTGAGATAAGCTAATATTGGTATTAAAAACAAATCAAAATAAAACGGTAAAACCAAAAGGCAAATGAATCCGCTATCACTTCTCAATCTTCTACTTGATGCTTTGATCATTATCGTTCCATAATCTTACAGTGTAGCATGCATCCTTACAACAACCCTCATGATTCATGAAAAATCAAGCTTGTGGACCTAAGGTTAAATGACTGGACCAATAAAAAGTGCCAGCAATCCTTATATTCTTGAAAGAGATGGAAAGTTTTTTGTAAAGGTGGACTAAAACGAAGGTGAGTAAAATCCATTAGAAATTCCCCTGAGACAATGGTAAACTGGGATGATCTTGATGGAGCAAAATGGATCTGAAAAGTCCAAGTAGTTTGCCTTGAGAAGTTTTTTAGCTGGGCTGTCTGCATTGCGTTTTTCTGGACAACATTGACACTATAAGTCATTGAGTTGTAGTGGTTGAGGTGGAACTTTGGTAGATGAAATGTTTACTGACAGAGGGTTCTTCTTCAGCTGCCAAGATCCACCAATTGTAAAAAGCTTGAAAGAGATGGAAAGTTTTTTGTAAAGGTGGACTAAAACGAAGGTGAGCAAAATCCATTAGAAATTCCCCTGAGACAATGGTAAACTGGGATGATCTTGATGGAGCAAAATGGATCTGAAAAGACCAAGTAGTTTGCCTTGAGAAGTTTTTTAGCTGGGCTGTCTGCATTGCGTTTTTCTGGACAACATTGACACTATAAGTCATTGAGTTGTAGTGGTTGAGGTGGAACTTTGGTAGATGAAATGTTTACTGACAGAGGGTTCTTCTTCAGCTGCCAAGAAGTCCACCAATTGTAAAAAGCTGTCAACCTGGTTAGGCAGTGTTTCAACCAATTCCTTTAAGGCTGTCGTGTAAGTTGAACCTTCTGCACTGCATTTTGCAGCTTGTGAAGGTGTCATTGGCTTGTCAACTTGCATAGTTCCTTCAGTATCACGGTGAGGAGGGAACACTGATCTGAGATTTCCCACAACTCCAAAAACGGAACCAAAACGTTGTGTACAAGGATTCTTCACGTCGTGGGAATGCATAAAAATGGACGAGAAGAAGGGGGCAGTGGGAATTTAGGGAGTTTCCTTTCCTGTAAATTTGGGGAGTTCTCCTTCTCCTTGATTTTTTCACTATTCCTTCTTTGGTACGTAGTATTTTATATAATAAGCAAAACTCACTTTTATAATACGGATGCCATGCATATCAATGCTTAAAAAAAGGGAAGGAAGAAATCCTAGCAAACCACATGCTAAAATAGAGCTAATACAACAACATCCAAGCCTTAGTCCCAAAATAGAGCTAATGTAGGTATTAAAATCAAATTAGGATAAAATAAATCAAGCAAACCATTCAGCTACCACTCCTGAATTTTCTACTTGATCTTTATCTCGCTGTGATCCTACAGTGAGCATGCATCACCCATACCTTGATTACTGGAGATTCTTTAGAGACAGAACCAAAATCATAATTGAAAACACCAAGCCCAATAATATCCAATGCCAAATTTGAAAATTCTGACTCAAGATCCAATTCCATTGTTTTTTCACCCTTTGAGCCTTCTGCTTCTATAAGCTTTTCAAATTTCAACATTGTTCTTTCAGAACAATCGGTGAATACTTTCGTCATAGCTTCCAAGTATGATGTGTGGAATCCAGGGGCAATGACTGTAAGTAAACATGAGTAAATAATTGGTATTAAGTATGCAAAAATAGGTTGTTTTGTACTACATAGGTACATAAGTACATAACTATTAAGGGTATGAAAATAAAAATGCACATAAAGTATGCCTGATATACAAGAGTGCCACACGTCTACAGTAAGATTTATGTCAGCATGGTGAGAAGAAACACTTTAAAGTAGTTAAATCGAGTCTAGCAACATATGGCATTATGCTGTCACTTTACCGACCAATGTTAAATATATCAAATAATATTGCGGTTTTAAACTATTATATAATGCAACATGGTGTGATGCATTTGCGAATAAGCTCATTACATGCATTACTTATCGCAAAGAAGTAGTGACACATTCGTAATTAAACTTTGACCAATTAGTGACTGAAGAAATGCAAAGCGCTTTTCAGGATTGAACCAGCTTAAATCTCAAAAGCCAAACACACCTCTTCTCCTTTGTTTCCAAGTATCAAAGTCGGCAGGTATTAGTCCTTTTCCCATTATAGGTTCCAAAATTTCAGCGAGAACTCCCTGTTTGAAAGCAAGAAATGCCATAGGTTGTTTTGTTCAACATATTCGTTTTGCTTATTACTAAATCTTATTTTGATCCAATAATGCTGGACTGAAAAGTTCAGATATAAAAAGCCTAGCCCAGAAAGACCAAATCAGACCAAACCATAGGATATGTTTGAGACAAGAAAATTAGACATGATAGCTAACATTCAAATCAGACCAAAAAGATTCAGGCCAAATACTAGACCAAAACAGATTTTAAAAAAATCAGACCATGTCACATTTTTTCAAAGCGAGAACAAGTCCATAATCTAAAAGTGAGATCCATAATCTAAAAGAAATAAGACCAATGCATGGCCAGTTGGCACTATCTCTCTGTACCAGTTTGCACAAATTCAAAAGAAAAATATCTCACAATAGAAAATATATAGTAATCTAAACTCTAAGAGATTAAGATAAAGAAACAGTCCTTACAAGAAAAGCTCCATAATGAGTGACTAGCCACAATGCATACCTTGTCATATGAGAATGCATTTTCACGAAGAATATGCCTAGCCACAATGGGGTCCGATACAACAACAAATGCTTTTGGCCCAAAAGCAAGTTTGTACACCGAGCCATACTGTTGATTCAGTAAAGCCAAATTAAAGATTTATAATATATATAATGAAAAAACAGGGTGGCAATGTAAACAAAAACATTGCAAATAGGCAAGTGCTGGCTTCAAGCATCAAATAACTAAGCATGTAGATTGCAAGTGAAACAGATCAATCATCAATGTTTGGTTTTTCAGAGGCTATTCACCAAAAAGTCGTTTGAAGGCACTAAATCCCTAAAAGGCAACTTCTACTACAGCGGTTTTTATATTTTGCCTCATTTCCCTTGCTCACAGGCAAATCTTAATCATACAGTTATGCATTAATTTTGTCATTTAACCATAACCACTACATACAACAACAACAACATTAACCCAGTGCCGCAAAGGCTCCCACCTATAGTAGGGTAAGGGGGGTTGGATGTACGCGGTCTTACCCTGTACTAAAGCAGGGAGAGACTGTTTCCAGATGACACATGATGAAAATCGTGACTAAAATTGCATGGACTGATTGATGCTTCATAACAAAGAAGCGTAGACAGTTTAGTGAGACAATTTGCTTTATTCTATCATATTCCCAAGCTAAAAATAACGAGTCTTTGGCTCCATTGGAAATGATGGAATAACCATAATCACTGCATAGTTTAATAAAATAATGATAACGGAGTGATAGCTAAATATTCGCTGCAATGAAGATACAAATAACTAAACAAAACAAGTAGATCGTGCTACAGTGCTATATAGAATACCTCTAAGAACCAATCGTACAATGAGAAGAAAAGCGGTTGACCAAAAAGATCAGAGACGGCACCTTCAGCAATTGGCATGGATCCAATTTTACTCCCACTCAACAAATTTGTGAGGAGATTGCTTGCATTGTCTAAAAAATTCATCCTTGGTTTCCTCTCATCTGTGCTAGTTGATTGGCACCTGTATTTCAGTTCAAATTCACTTCATCTTCCGTCAAGTAGTCTTACAACTTTTTAAGTTTTTACACATAAATGAAACCTTGTGAATGCATTATTGGAAAATAAGCTGAATAAGTGCTAGTCAACTGGAAATTCTGCTCCTATTTCTGCATTAAAAAATCTGGAAAATTACTTGGTCTAGCTTTGTTTCTATTTCTGAACTGTAGCCTATCTTTGCGCCTATACTATTAATAGGTATCACATTGGCATGTGCTATCAAGTGGATCCAAAGAGATTGCAAAGGGGCGAACTCGCAATGCAATCCGTTTTGATGGAACTACTCTGAATTTGGAAGATATGCTTACACATATCAAGTATATGGTGAACAAAGTGTTCTACTCTTTCTACCCGTACCATATGATTACCTTTTGAAATCACAAACTGTCTTTTTGTCACGGCTTGATGGCTGGTTGTTTTGCTATATGATTACTCTAGAGGTTATGCTTAGATAGCATTTGATATTATAGGGTATCCATACTTGGATATGCCTCTCTTTTTGTCCATATAATGTACATAAACCTTGCTTACTATATATATATTTACATTTCACCACAAAAAAAAGGTATCACATTGGCATATCCCATATAAGTACTTTTTTATGCAAGTATCATACGAATTGGAACCATATAGGCCATTTCCAAATAGTAACACATCACTTTTTTACTTGAAAAACAAAAACTTGTGATATCCATATTGCCTAGTGAAACACATATCAAGCCCACTTAAAAAAAATTGGTTTGTGGCCTTGTGCAAGGACATAACCTTACACCTTCTAATGATCTAATCTAGTAACCAGTATCCTAAAATGCTACTCCATCCATCCCATTTGTAAGATACACTACCCTTTTTGCGTTGATCCATAAATTGAACTCCACTAACTTTTTATTTTCTTACACTTTCCTTAGTGAACACAGAATGTTGTTTCTTAATTTTTGGAGGTTGGAACTGTAAAACAGTAACTTTATCCATTATTTTATTAAAACCTGTCCCAAACCCAAATTTAATTTGCATTATGGGACAGAGGGAGTAATAACTAGTTAATTACTCCGTAATTATTAATAATTGAATAATTCCAATTACTTTTTAAATTTTCAGTGTTGTTTTAAAACTCCAAATTTACTTTATACTCCTACGCATTTATTCAGATTTTGAAAACCAAACATATTGAGTATGTCCTGCTTGGAAGCTCTAAGGAAAGTGAGATGTAGGTAGATCTTACATCTACCCTATGAGTAAAGGCTTCCGTGAAGACCCCATGTTTTGGGAAGTTTGGAAGATGTAACATTTATTCATATTATTATAGTAATTTTACTAACTTTATAAAACTACAGTTTTACTTTTTATGCATATAAATATCCAGTGGGAATATGGGCTTCTGTTTTGGAAATTTAAAACATCTACTCATATCCTTGAAGGCTTGAACATTGATTGTGTTTTACTCATGTTTAGGTAATTCACATGAGTGTTTTCCCTAAATCAGAGTATTGTGTTTTTATTCCCTAAATATAAGTGCACAATCCATCTATGCCCTCCATAATTTAGTAAATTACATTTATCACACTCCAAATTTAATTGATTTTAAATCTGAAAATGTCATTATTTGAGTGCGGCAGTATATAGAATGCCATTATAGTTATCAAAATCACAATATTACTTTGAAAGCATAATTATTTAGATTTACTCTCAATTATATTTATTTTAATATTTTGTCATCAATATGAATATAGAAAGTTCCATCTTCTTACTACTCCCTGGGTCTGACTGATTTCCTTATTTAGTCATGCCACAAAACTTCATCATTTCAATTTAAAATACATAGTAATAAATATGGGATGAAAGTTGTTTTTCACTCCTCTGCATAAATCTCAACTACTCAACCAATTAGTTTTTGCCTAACTATTCTCTGTATACGTGTAAGTCAAACTTCACCAAGTTTGAGGGCGCTAGTATTATGAATGAAAATGTCAAATACAACAGGTTATATCTTTGTCCAGATGACAATATTATTGTAACATGTATTTTCACAAGACATCATTACTAGTGCATGCTGGATTGCTGGCATTATGATGGCATTACTAGTCTACAAGATGACACTTTTCCGGCTGGTTTTGCCAAATTTTGATTTACAATGATGGCCGCCTATGCAGCACGGAAACTCTCGCAAAAGAGTACGTTCCTTTTAGGAACTCTAAGGAAACACTCTCGAAACTCTTCAAACAAACATTTTTAGGCAAAAGTTGACCTCTCTTGTTTCTCATTTCTTCATGATATTCTCATTTCAGTGGAACATAGATGGCTGCTATAGCATGGTCGGCAATATCTGCTAGTGGATAGCTTTTAGCCTATTTTGTTTTGTCTTCTTTAATCTTTAGGAACTGAGGAGTACTTGAACGAGACAGGAAGTCAGGAAGAGTTAGATTTACTGACCAGTGCCACTATAAACGATAAAAATGAAGAGAGAAAACAAAACTACCTGATTCGACTCCCTCCGCTGGGCATTAGCTCCTTGAAAGGATTGGCATGGCTATGTTTATGACCCGGAGACCAGGAAGAATACAAGGGCAAGCCGATACAAGAACTGGGGAGTGCACAGTGGATTTGAGCAGTAGCAACGCAACATCCAATCGCCATGGACTTCTATCACACAGTTGGGGCGCGAGAATCCTAGAAGCAAGAAGAAGAGGCTGAGTCTGAGGATGAGCCAAGCTCAGACTTCTACCGCTGCAAGCATTCCTCTTCGTTTTACCCGTCTCTCCTTTCCTTCTCTTTATCCATATGTTCTCTTTTTTCTCTTTTTTGTTTCTTCTATGTTCAATCCTATCATCTCGATATTAGAATCTCTGTAACCCTATAAAATCAATATGACTCGTTGATCTTGTAGTGGGTCTAAATGAGCCTAAGGCTGTAAGGAAAGAAGATCCCTCATCGCCCAATCATAATGCAAGAGTGTCACGCACCGGACTTACCCGGACACGTCAACAACCCGCCGTACAGTACAAATAGTCAACCGCAGTCCAACTCATTCATACTATACAAGGCGTCTTGAATATCATTCACACATAGTACATCCATAAACAAACATAATGTAAAATATTCATTTAAAGCAGCGGAAATAGTTAATACAAGTGTTCAAGCCACACTTGACATAATTAGGCATACAAGCCCCCAAAAATAATTATTCTGAAAATATTATCCATGAGCATTATTATAATTGTTTTTGAAACAGAAACGGAGGAAGCAAGAACCACGTCTTCTCTCTTAGATTTTCCCGAAGCAACGAGCACTGGTAGCAAGCTCAACTTCTACCTGAAACTGTGAGATGGCCTCCCCCGTGAAGGGGAGGTCAGTACTTGGAAGCATTTGACAAGTACAGTAACAACTATACTAAGTATAATCAACGTTTCAATTTCTAAGACCCTCAATCTAGGGTGATATTACATTATATTATAGGTCATAACCTTCGGTTACACTGTTTGAAAATGTACTTACTTTATGTATAAAGTCAAGCAGTCGGCCCGTGGGCCGTATTCATTTTGAAACGTCCACCCATGTTTCCCTGTGACTATTAGTCACGATTGTCATAACTTTCAGTAAGTTACTTTTACCGTCAAGTGTCATTTCTCAAATTCATTAATTAGTCATCTTGGAGCCTCGCTCAATCTTATTATTATACCGTGCTAGAGCCTCGCTCTTAGTCGTCCTACGTCGTGCTAGAGCCTCGCTCTTAGTCGTTCTACGTTTTGCTAGAGCCTTGCTCTTAGTCATTCTACGTTATGCTAGAGCCTCGCTCTTAGTCATTCTACGTTATGCTAGAGCCTCGCTCTTAGTCAATCTACATTAGGCTAGAGCCTCGCTCCTAGTCAATCTACATTTGTGCTAGAGTCTCACTCTTAGTCAATCTACATGTGTGCTAGAACCTCGCTCTTAGTCAATCTACATGTGTGCTAGAGCCTCACTCTTAGTCATCTACATTTGGCTAGAGCCTCACTCTGAGTCAATCTACATTTATGCTAGAGTCTCGCTCTTAGTCATCCACATTAGGCTAGAGCCCCGCTCTTAATCAATCTATTTGATTCCTAAGCCAATTCTATGCCTAGAATCAATTTACCTTGAGTAGCCTTTAAGGCCCACTCCTAACATATCTTAGAGCTCATACATTTCGACCTTCAAGTATCTCTTATGACTACTTAAGGCATCTCTATTCACAATCTCATCTCTTAGGATTAATTCCATCATTTATTTATTTTAATCTCCTGACTAGTATTTCAATACTAGTCGGATAATCTTAGAACAACCAAGTTCTTAATTCATACTCAACATTTCATTTCAATTGATTTTCCAATCCAAATACAATTTAATCTTAATATCAAAAATATCACCTTTATTCATTCATGAATTCTATACATGAAGTAAAAGTATGTTTTATCACAATATTTTCATAGCTAATTCCATTATCATGCCATCACTTTCATATCACATAATCATACACAATTTCTTCCAAATTTGTATATCATGCTCCATTTACTCATAACAATAGCATTTTCATTAGGCATTATTAATCATTAATAATCCATGAAAACCACATTTTATTACTTTAGGTAATCTTATGAAATTAACTCACTAATTATAAGCAATATAGTCAGTCATCCTCACTTCGTGATATGCTACAATAGTTGTCTTTGTTAAGCCCCTCGATCAATCCCCGTTCTAGGTCGATTGAAAGTGGAAGACTGGACTGCTGGGCAAAAGCTGGGTGGCTTTCACGAAAGCCGGGCGACGTTCGTAGTCTGCAACTACGAACAGCTCCTTTGGAGTGGCGGTTTCCGGCGGTTTCGACTCTTATCGATTCCACAACTCTTCTAAATTAAATACCAACACTTTATAACATATTTCTACATTTTTAAACGTGTAGAACATCCCCATTAATCCAATATATGATTTCTTCAAAATCATATTCACTAAATATATTAAATAACTAGTTGGATGGGAATAGCATTCGGTTACCTAGAAACGAGCTCTCTTCTTCCCGGAATCCCTTTCTTTCTCCTTCCTTGCTCCAAGAACGTGTGAAGCTCCTTGTGAGCTCTCTTCCCTCTCTAAGTGGCGTAGGAGGCTTCTCAAAATGAGAGGATAAGGAGACTCTCCTCCCTTATCTTCTATTTTTAGAAGGTTGGGCCAATTTAGTTGGGTTGGGTTCGCGGGCTGCTCCTTTTAATTTACTCCGACCCAAATGACTTTTATTCGTTTACTTATATTGTTTTAGGCTAGTAGACCTCACTAAATCGATCCTAAAATGTATTGGATATTCCTCTCCAATGTTCCGAGCTTAAACCCCTTTACCTTTCTATTATTAGAAAGTGGCTCAAAAAGTCCCTTTATTTTATTCCTTTACCTTTTATCCGGCTCAAACATTCGTATATAACTTATTTCCTTATCCTTGGGCTTTTAACTAATTTAACGTGGTCCAAGAATATAATAGTTAGTCCCTCTCCATTTTTTTAGGGTCCGACACAATATGATTAATCGGTATTAACTTAATCAATTAATCATTTCTCATATGATTAATATTTTTGTAACTAGTTTTCAAAATGAATAAATATTCACGAACTCAACTAGTCATCCTCATCGACATTGGTATTTGTAATTGCTATTAAATTTTAATATTAATGTATTAATTAATCCCAGTTCAAACTGGGAGCGGTGTCACAAAGAGTCCGGCAAAAATAAGCATAAACGACAGAAACAAACACAGTCTGATCGAAATAAAAAAGCAAAAAATAAAGCATAAAAGTGGAACTTCAGCTGCACCATCAGCAACCCGAGGGGCTTCCCCCGTGCTTCGTTGAGCAGGATCATCTTCAGAACTCTCGGCGGGTTGAAGTACCCAGACCCGCCCCTTCTCCGATTTTTGGATCATCGAGAGCCATGTTGTCTCCCGCAGCATCCACGGCTTTGTTCTCCTCCCACATCATCTTGCGCTTCTGTTCTCTTAAAGTTTCCTCCCTAGTTGTTGCTTCGTCCTCCTCGGTTCGAGTCTTGTTTCCTCCCGCCACGGTAAGAACCCAATTTTGTCTTCTTGTCTCAACCCTTTCGGCGTCCTCATTCACTCCACCAGAAGTATTATCTTTCTGAGTCATAACCCGTCCACCTGAAGAACATCCCGGTACCAACCATTTATTGCCTCCTATTGGGCGAGTTTCCCCCCTCCACCCGTTCGGAGTCCAACCCCATAGGGCTTAGCCAGAATCGTACTTCCACATTCATAGGTCAGGGGACAATATCTGTCAGCATGACCAATGACACCACAGGCAAAGCAAAAACTAGGTAATTTTTCGTACTTAAAATCTACCCAATGCCCTGCTCCCTGACCTTTGCTAAGAGTCGTGCCCACTTTCAGTGGCTTCCCCACATCCATGCAAACCCCGATTCTCATATAAGAATTCCATTTTTCTTCAAATTGACTTTCATCAAAACTGATGAATTTCCCAATAAAGTTGCCAATGCGTCTAGTTGGCCCAACATTCATAAAATCATAAGGTACATTATGTAACTGCACCCACAACTCAACCTCATTAAGGAGAACCTGCAAGGGGATGTCTCCTGGATTAAGTGCCCTGAGTACTAACAGATTATGCTCAAAAAGTCACGGGTCACTTCCAATAACACGTTCCATATCAATAATATGGTAGAAAGTAAACAAGTACCTTTTGTCCTCAATCTCCTTAATGGAAATTCCTTTACCGGGCCACCATATTGAAGCCATGAGGTCCCTGAACACCGGGAATTTCACCATTCTGTCCATGAGGACAGTACCCACCACTGGAAATGTAACGACCGTTCCCAAACGGCCATTACGATACTCAAATCCAAAAGAGACTTGATATACAAAGAGGGAATAAAGATATAAAGTCTCGTCATGAAACTTTATTTCTTATATACATAACCAAACTTAATAACGAAAATGTCGTAACCAAAAGAAACTGTCCTTAAACAAAACCATTACACCTGATCAGGATTTTTAAAAGCAAAGCATTTAACCATCCATAAAAGTATCATAGTACTAAAGCAAAACATAGCAGCCAACCAGGTATTCTCCGTTAACCCATCCAAAACCTTGTCACCAGCTCCGTACATCCCCTCATGCTTCCGTTCTTCATTTATTACCTATACATGAGCACACGAGAGAATAGAATTCTCGTAAGCAATAATGTTTAGTAAGTCACCATTACATCCATTAAAACAACGGAGTCTTAGCTAGCCATAAATAGATACACAAGCCAGAATACTCAACTCATAAGACATAACCACATACAAAAACACATATCATGACAAGCAAAAGTTTCAAGTATCGAAACCTAAGAGGTTTCCTTATTCATCATTCTTTCTTCTCATTTTTCGTTTGAGTTTATGGGCCTGTAGCTCGTGTCATGGCCCCTCACCGATGACCTCAGGTAGCTAGCCCGCAGCCCATCAGAAGTAACCTCAGGACTCCCCGCAGGAGGATGTCCCATTACACTCAGCTCAGGTAGTTACTTGGGGGCACGTCTACCTTAGAACATTACTTATCAATCATTAGTTATCATTACCATTATAACTTCCTTTAATTTCATCATTGGTTCCATATGAACCCAAGCTAAAACCAAACATAGGACTTGAATACCTTACATCTGATAATTCAACAACTCTACGATTAACACCACCTTTTAATACATACACATCACATGGAATTCACATAACATCATGCCACACAATTTCAAGTATCCAAGCAAATGTATCAAATTCATAATTAGCTAGACTTTCATACTTTA